ACAACTAAACAGTATAGTGAACTTTTCGAAAATTTCTAAGTTCTAAGTTAATAAAGTTATAAATAATTATTACAGAGTTTCATAAGTGAATTTTCAATTTCTATTGATGTGATAGTTACTTATTTGCGTTTTACAATGTCAATACATGACTTGGCTTTGGCACAAAACCCTATATAGTAAAACCTGTAATAGTCCTTTTATCAAAAAGTTATTTCTCTACTGCATATTTCTTCTTCTTCTACAGTAAGCACTCTAGCTCCATATTATGGACATTTCAACTCTATCATAGAGTTTTGTTTTTTGTTTTTTAATTCCATCCAGACTTGCAGCAAATTTGGATTTAATAAAAGGTCCACATTGAAAAACTTTTTCTTGCAAATAAATTTCCAAATCTTATTTTGCTCTGAATTTATGGTCCATGCCATATCGGGTGGCCAATAAATAAAAAAATTTAGAAGATTTTTTACAAATTTTTCCAAATTTTAAAGCAGTGACTCGTTTTCGTCTTTTATTGTACCACAATGCCCAATCAGCTTATCACAATCGTTGTTTTTAATCTATAGAGACTGGCGAAAGCAAGAAAAATGATTTACATTACTTTAACGGATTGAAGAATTGTTAACATGCTGGAATTAATAATTATTGTTAACTCGAAGAGGTATTTATTAAACAAAAAAAAACCCGTGCGATATAAAAGTTAAACAAAAATATATTTATAATTCACATCTCAGTGTATACCTTTTAATTTCGGATCATTTTTTTAATAAATAAATGATAAAATTAATTTAATATAATTGAGCGAAATTACTGAATGTAATAAATAACAAAATTAATTCAAATCACTTACGCACTGTTTATCACTAAATGGTAGAAAAAGATATATATTTTGTTGGTGTCATCCTCTAGACGAAAAAGCTTTTAACGTATTTCTATTGTAAGAAAAATAAATGCTCCTGTAAGCAAAAATTAAATATATTGTTCCCTTCTAGCATTTTTTAACATTTCTATTTCTTTTCGTTTCTTTTCCTAGATTTTTTTCAAAGGAGATTGATTCAAATTTTTAAAGTGACTCCAAAGAGGTACAGGTTTAGCCTTTACCTGTACATAAATTTTCTTTTAGTAAAAATAACTAATCCGTAAAATTGGTGTACTATGAAACCCATGCGTATGTCAATCTTAGTATTACACAGAAATTATTTACTTAAAAAATAAGGTGTACAAATACGTAAAATTTATTTATCCCTCGTAAAACATCAGTAAAATATATTATAAATTGTTTTCATTCACAAATACTAATTTCTTAAAAATCTAACAGAGGCGCCACTTTCCAGACGAAAAATCTTGCAATGTAAGGGTTTCGTAGTACACCACTTTTAAAATTTATTTTTGACTATTTTTAAAAGAAAAAAATATGTATGTGTAGGTAAAAGTTAAATCTATGCTCCTCTGGAACCACTTTTTCAAATTTCAATTTAGTTTTTTCTAAAAAAAAATTGAGAAAATGGATAAAAAAAGTCGAGTTTTGTATTTTTTTTATAAAAAACTGAATCAAATTTTGAAAAAGTGTCTCCAGAGGAGCATAGATTTAACCTTTTCCTATACGCACATATTTTTTTCTGTTAAGAAAAAGTCAAAAATAAACTTTAAAAGTGGGGGTACTACGAAACCCTTGCATGCTCCGCGCTACAGCCAAGTAAATACTCCTCACTTAGGTAATAAATTTAAATACAATGACCGTGATATCTAATTTTTTTTTTTAAAGAAATATTGAGAAATTTGGAATGTTTAGGTATTAGTCGAAATGAATATACAGAGTAACTTAATTAGATTTCTGATAGGTTTACAAAACAGTTTTGAATAAAATTTTATGAATTAAATCAAGTTAATAAGAAATATACTGGATTGACCATTAGTCCAAAATTACGCAAGAATATATCGATGGCTAAGAGCACAAATGTTGTATGAGTAAAATCGATTTGAAAGTTGGAAGTGACTGACGAGCTGTATAATTTTTATTAGCATTACTGAATGGTGAATATAAAACAAGAAGACGAAGCAAAGACTTCTCGTAAGGTAACTTAATTTAATTCATAAAATTTTATTCAAAACTGTTTTGTAAACCTATCAGAAATCTAATTATTAGTATGTTAAGTTACTTTTTGTACACTCTGTATATACATTTCGACTAATACCTTAACATTACAAATTTCTCAATATTTCTTTAAATAAAAATTAGATAACAAGGTCATTGTATTTAAATTTTTTGCCTACTACTTAACTATTAATTTAAAAAATAAAAAAAAATTTAACGTCGCAATTTAAAAAATGGGTGTATCGATTTACGTTTTAAATGGAATAACTAAAAAGGCATTTCTTTATAAGCTTACCAGAACATAAGTATATTAACAGAGCATTTCTTTATGAGATTTGGTTACGCTGGTGACGTCATATGTTACATCTAGCGAGGCATTTCTTTATAACACATACTTTGATTTTCTTTACTATACGGCGCAAGAGAGAGGTCCGACACGCCCAACATAGGGCCCGGCCATTTTGAACCCTATGCAACAGTTTATAGCTAAAGAATCAGATCGCTCACTCTGCGTCGGCACTTTCGATCTCAATGTTCCAGTTTATACACTGCGCAACTCGGATAATACAATATATAACAACCGCCTATAATAAAACAACTGTCTTCTGCGTATCCTAAATTTGTATCCCTGGAGTGGATCTTATTTTGAAACTTTCAACTGGTCCGAGTGAGCTAACTGATTCTTTAGCAATAATCTGTGACTCAAAAAATATTCACTGACACTGACAGCCTCAAGCAAAATATCAGGTGCGTTTTAATCATAAGCTTCTGCTTTCGGAATTGTCGGTTTAGTCGTTTTAACTTGTCAAATTAAAACAAGAAAACCGACAATTCCGAAGCAGAAGCGGATGATTAAAACGCACCTATTAAAAATATTGCGCCAAGATGTAGGCCACACGTAATAAGGGTTCAAAATGGCGGAGTTTTCTATCTCCTTTTAAAAGGCACTCAGAAAGCTGCGCAGTGCGACCATTCTCCGTATAGTAAAAGAAAATCAAAGTATGTGCTTTATAAGCTTACTAGAACATACCATAATAAAAATAACAAGATAAAATATCCCCAAACTTAAATTAAATTTGACATATGACGTCATTACATCAACCACAATACTGTAACCAAGTCTGTTGTGGTAAGCTTATAGAGAAATGCCTTAAAAGTATCCACCAAGTGACGTCACAGTTAACCTTGTTGATAGTATTCTTTAAATTTGGCTGGCTGTCGTCATTTGACAAACAAATAAATTCACTTGTTTCAAAAGTTTTAAAAACTTTTGGATAACACAAAATAATTATGTTTCAAAGTTTTCGAAAAGTATTGTTTATTATTTTATAGATGTCGTGATATTAATATTTAAAAATAATGGACTACAACAATTCAATCAAAATGGATAAATAAATCATCGGGTGTGACCGGAAATAAATTAATAAAACTGATTTCTTTTTCGTTGATTTTAGTTGGACACTTGGCAACACCGCACTAATTTGTATTGACAGAGCATGACAGACATAATTCTAAATTCTAATGAATAAGTTTAGACAAATGACCATTTAATCCTCATAAGCCTTTAATATGTAAATTTTTTAAAAAAACGTCAATTTATGGGGTTTCCGGTGGTGTATTTGAAAAATACTCTTCTTCCTAAACACTAAAATGTAAATTTTGTAAAAAATATTTATTTTTAAGAAAAGGGTGTCTTCGCAATAATTACCAAAACTTTAATCCTAAACTTAGTTTCCTATTTTAAGAGACACAAATCTATTTGCGAGCCTCTTGAAAAGAGTTTCAATCAAATGGCTGCAGATACATTAAATATTTCGCATAAAACTATCTAGACTTAGTAAACTAACAAATTCTGATAAAGAATATGTGAAAATAATGTCTAAAAAAGTAAGCCAAAGTAAGACAAAAGTCAATACTTTAATACTTTTGTACTAATCACATAGCCCTCAGAAAGTCTAGATACCGCAAATGCTGTCAATACAAAAAAAATACCCCATTCAATCTTGTCGCCATGATGGGTAAATTTATGTTTTGGCTACACTGATTTTTAGTTTGTGTGTTCTCTAATACGTGAACACCGATAATCTGCACTTTGTTATTAGTTATAAGTGAGTGAGACGCACAATTTCCAATTTCAAATTAG